GACAAGGATGTACGCCCCGATCTGCATCGACAGTGGCAGGTAATTTGACATTGTTCACTAAAACGGTCTATCGAATAAAGAGCCGAATTCGCGTTCACGAAAGGAATGTCGAGGGCATGCGAAGTACTCCCACCCGAAGACTTTGGTGAAGTTAGCTCGGGAAATCCGACACGCGAGTTAGTCAAAACCATTATTAAAGTCGACTGCCTTTGAGGCTAACATACTTTTGGTAAATAATTTTGCCTACACTAGCTCAAACCGCAGCCTTCTGGTATCTGTTTTGCAAAGCTTTGATAGACTTGAAACTAAGCCAGATCAGTCTGTTACGAAAAGCTGCAAAATCATTGGCAGTTTTCTTCCATCCTACTTCAAATGCGTGATTCATGCAGATTCATGTTTTTGTTCTGTGTGGTTTTAACCTCATCGTTGATTCCTGTTTCGCCAATGGAAAAAAATCCTCTAAAATGAGGATTTTTTCACAAAGAAAGGTCTTGTGGTGTATCAGCAACCTCTTCTCTGTGATTCTTTAAAAAGCCAATGAGGAAGGAAGGTAGGCAATTACAATGGCATCACTGCCTGCAACATTGATTCTTCTTTTGATCGCAAGTCTCACTAGTCGTTTAAAAATCCGATAAAATGAGCTAACACACTGTGAGGTGAGAGAGGAGATTCAACTCAGGTCAAATTCATACCTCAGTTGGACGTTTCCTCACCTTAGATGGTACCCACAAGACACGTCTCTCGCGAACACCCTAATCGAGGAGAAAGTGCAACAGTTAGCACGGTTTTAGTGATGCTTGCTTGATTGATCCTCTGAGTCTTACTGGTCAATCGCCCTCACTGCCTAATCACTTGCTTCCTGCCCTCACTCTGTCCAGTACTCATCGCGCAAATAACCTGCAGCGGGCCCCAGTGCGGTTTTGGAAAACCCCACCGAGGATGGCGCTATACACTGACAAGGAATAGTGAAAAATGCAGGTGGCGCGCAGGTCAAGTTATTTATTGATGTGTACAGGATAACGAGTGCGTTTATATAGCTTCGCTCAGTATCGATCGCTGAACGCACGGAGTTGCGCGAGGCGTATTCACGAAAAAATCGATTGATGCGTGTTCGCTCACGCCTGCTAGCTGTGCTCGCCTGCTGCTCGCCGCAAGCCTATTTTGTCCAGGCATCAAGTTGAATTTTAAGCCAGAGTGGAATGCAGCGTTTTTTAAGTTCATCACATTCGGGGAATACAGGCACAGTGATTGCATTTAGTCTGCTACTGAAATCAAATGAGTACAATATTCACGAAGGCGCAAATAATTTGCTTGAACCAAATTAAAAAGGGTTGTAACTGTGGAAAATCTGCTCACCTGCCATGAATGGTTAGCAGGTCAATCTCCACTCTAACGCACTGCTTCTGCTGTTTCCAAAAGCCACTGAACAGGGTTGCAAGTTAATGTTGGCAAACATCTGGGACGCAAGTTTGGTCAAGTGCGTTGCATTGAGGAAACACAGGCAAATTGTTGGTATTATGCATGTTCCTTACATAAAATCGGCAACGTGTCTGCTGCAATGAGATCTCATGTCACCACTGACGATGCTAGCATGGCATATTCGTTAGCTTTTGACTTTTCCCCGAAATGACTGACCAATGATGAAGACTTGGCGACAAGCGAGAGACCACAAGAATTGTAGGTGAACTGGTTGCAAAGACTTAGACTGAACTAAAAATCTCCACTAAAGTTTATTGTAAGTTCATTCTAGCTGTCGAAAAGCCCGTTGAGGGCCCCGTCATGTTGGCTTAAAGCAATCTGGGGCCCCTGCGCAGACTTAACCCGATTGGGCTACCCAGAGTGCGGTAAAGGGGTGGACAAGGTAAAACCGTTCACTAGACAGTTAAGCAAACTTGTGTTTTGCTGACGGATGCAGTTGAGTGGATTAATTAAGATACAGACATCTGAATAATCACATGCGCGGAGTAATTGGTGGTGGTGGTGGTGAAAAATACATTCAAATAATTCCACAAATACACGTTTAGACAGCCATGTGTCGCAAACTACTAATGAAATCTTAATGCTCATGAATTCGTGGTACAGGTCCCACTGGAAGCGGTTCACCAAAACGTGTTTTAATTTATCTTGGGATCTCTGTGTAATAAAGAGTCTGATTGGCTAGAAATGGGCACATCTCTAAAGCGCAAATTTCTGGAAACGAAACAGGTTGCATATTGTCTTGAGGTGTAGGGCAGAGGGCCAAACCGTGCTAAATGTTACACCCCTACATCATGTGGGGGTTTCTAAGCAAACGTTTGTGTTGCCGACCGCCTTTCGAAAACTACTATGACACGCACTTACCACTGAGCTGACCCTCGCCGATTAAGCCTCCCTGATGGCCGAGATGAAACAGACCGGCGACGGCGGTGGCACAACGGTTTTTATCAGAGCTCAACAAAGTTGGTGTCGTTGTGTCGTGTATGACGTTTTTTCATGCGTATTTATACGTCAGATTCGAGACTCGTGGATGCTACAGACGACTGAGACGATTTGTTTTGTTACTGCCTGTTTATTTCAATGCGTGTGCTGTCTCAGTGGGGATTTGTTTTCCAGTCGTTTGAGTGATTCGCAAGGCTGTGATTTGGTGTGCTATTAAATTGAGCCGATGGTGTACGTCAGTCGTCATGCGCATAGCTGATCACGGAAATACAACGCCATAAAAAAAGAGAAAAACAGAAGGGAAGTAAATGTGGGTCACTTCAGCTAAGGGCAATTAACAAGAGTAGAGTCTAAACATTGTAATTGTATGATGCGTCTCACGAAAAACCATTCTTACGTGCACTTTGTCACTGAAACGTGAATTTGTTTATCTGAGTAAGGACGACGAGGACTGAGGCGCTGGAAAGCAACAAACACAGCAAAAACAGCTTCACGTAAAGGACATAAAAGTTTGTATGTGTTATAAAAGTGGCCATTTTCGACGAAGATACCACGAGTAGAGTTAGTATGTGGAAGGCGTGTGCGATGTCGCATGGCTGGAGTGGTGAGAATAGGATTAAATGGAAGATTCCAGGCTGTTGGCAATAATGCCTTTCCGTTTGCCTGGGTTCAATCCAGTAGTAATCGCAGTCGATTGGACTATTAGTACTCCCACATGGAATTGTGGAATGATGTGACACAAGAACAAGAGACCACACTGAACTAGCTGCGTCAGGGAACATCAATTTAGATCCCGTGAACATTCACTGCCTGGAAGTAACAGCAGCTCGCCCGAATCAAAGCACAACATTGACACTCTGGAAATTGTAACAACTTGTATAGCATAGTTAAACAAACGATAAATGAAGACTGTCTCACAAAGAACCTCAGAATGCATTGGTGTCTTTATGAGACCCTAACTTGGTGAAAGCATACTTTGTCGAATTACATCTTCGACGTGAGTTGGGACTGGAAGGTGGTCAGCCAATTAATTTCACTGTCCGCCAACCAATCAGCAGGTCCATCGATCGATGCTGGCGCAGTGTCTAACGTGACATGCTTTACACAGTGGGATTCGTAATAACCTCTGCCACGTTCACCAAGAAACCAAGCCAAGACAACCAAACTCATGTCGTCTTTACCTTGTTTGGTCGCTAATAACATGGATTACCTTGGCAGCTGCTCATTCCAATGTGAATTTCAGGTGTGGAGCAAGGAGATACGACAGGGTTTGAGTTGGCATAAAATCGTAAGCCGAATGTGCAGTAATGCGGCTGATTCTTATAAGGATAATTTACAGCCCAACGGAACACTGAAAATCATCCACATTGTCAGTTTTTACACTAGCACAATTTAGTTGGGACCAGTAAATTTCAAGCAGATTGATTCAGTTCTTGTAAATTACTCAGATTCTGATCAATTTCTAAGTAACTACAGGTGTGTAAGGTGCTTTTCTACAAGGAAGTCTAAAGGTTACACACACAATAAAAAAAGTGCAATCAGGGACTTTGCATTTTCACAGAACGCGATCATGCCACAAATATCAGGTGACCACTAATTGGATCACAGAGACTGCCAGTCAATAAAACAATAACAGAATCCCTTAGATTTCACGATGGCTTGTGTAGGCACATGATACAGCACACTAGTTCTGCCTAGTTTTAATGTGTCGAATGTCACCGTTGCTTGGCATTTAAAACCCAGAACAAATTTGTAGGATTGGACCCAACAGAATTCGATAAAGACCACTAAAAGGAAACGCCCTTAGAGCAAATTGGGAGAAATGGAAATTCACGCGCCTGGCATGACGTCAAACCTTGCCACGTGATGCCTAGTTGGTCTCATTTCGGAAAACTTTCCTGCATTGTACGCTATTTTTGTTTACGCCAATTCCATAGAGGCGAATTTGACAAATTGGCTAATTGCAAACATGTGGCAATTTAGTATTCTAAAATCCGTGTCAAACAGCATCTCACAAATCACTCGCTTGCAATTGTATGGGAGAATCCATCTACCTTGTTATGCTGAGGTGTTTTCTCGATTTAACAGCATTTCGTAACTCACAGCCCCGGTCCAGTTCCAGGTCAAACCGAGCGTAATTAAGGAGAACAGGGCGCGTTGAGGTAAGAGTTGGCGTCGGTGAAAACACGCAGATGCACGGCGCTAGATGATTGCATCACTTTTAGGTGAGTTTGAGTCGGTGATTCTGATGGTGGGTTCGATTAACTAGAGATTCTGATTTTTCAAGCCTGACTTTATTCTCTAAGGAAGTGGTCCAGATGCTCGCGATGCACCTTTGGACAGTGTGCATTTGAAACTCCGCTAAATAGACGTAATCGAAAAATCTTACTAAACTAACTGCCAATGGCAATGCAATGCCTACCATTCATCTTTGCCCGACTGATGATGCAGGGATTTGCATTCACACCTACTGATCGTCGTGAAGGTAACGTCCTAGCTTCTTCAGTTGGCACTGCACAGGCTACTCATTTACATATTTGCGTACAAACTGAGGTAACATTTGACGCTGATGTCTTACAGGAGTCATCGTTCACCTGGCACCAGGCCATCACTCGTGGTTTGTGCGATGCGACTCTGATTTGCCTGAATTCGCCCCAGAATGGTTTGAGAGAAGTGGTAAGTTTGCAGGAGTGGACGGTTCTTGTCCCAGTTTGCACCATAGAGTCAGTTTTGGCAGTTCACATCTGCGCAACCCAGAACAATCGATTATGGATCCCCTCGAAGTCTGCCCAATCGTCGAGCTGAGTTTGTTGTAGGCCCCAGCATGTGGCCTTGAACCACGCCGGGTCCACGGAATTACCCCTGGCCAGATTACGCTTGCCTGATACCCGCGATGAAGGAAAAGACCGGAGAGGACGTGGGCACAACCGTTTGCTTCCGAGTTCAACCACGTTGGTGTCGTTGCGTCGTGTGTGTGGGGTTTGCGCGTGTGTATTTATACCTCAGATGTGTGAGTCATACATGCACTAACACCGAGACCTAAGTGTGGGGATACTCCAAGATAAATATTCGTGCAAATGAAGGGAAGGTTGAGGATTCGCGCGGCTGGCGACATGCCGCGACAAGGGTAACCCTGTGTAGGAGGTGGAGCGACCGGATTAGGGGGTTGAATAAACACGACTCACGACACGTTGTTGTTCAAGAAGCTGATATATGGGAATCGGCTGATCGGCTGGTTATTACCGGCTATCTGTGATGAGATGCTGCCTTGGTTTACTACTTTTATACAAAATTTAATTTGAAATAATCAATAAACATGAACAATTTGTGGTCTTGGTGATGGCGTTTTGTGTACCGTGAGATTAACCGTGATAGTTTAAAAAAGTAACTGTAGTGAATCGTGTTGATTCACGTTAAACACCCAGTCGTCGCAGCCTCACACATGTCCCCTCTGTTCACAACCTGCCCGTCAGTCACGTGAGGCCATTGGTCCATTAACACCTGCGCATGTCCCACCACCAGTTTTATTCATGTGACCTCACAAACGCCTGTGTTCATATTTATATGTCACTCAATTGTACACGACACAACTTGGTTGAGCGGTCTAGTAAACGGTTGTGCCTTTCCCACTCCGGTCTTCTATATTTTCGCGGGAACGCAGGGTAACGTATTCGGCGTAGATAATCGCATTGGCCCCGGCATGGTTCAAGACAACATGCCGGGGCCCTCAACATAACCATGACAAATCATCTCTAAATATCTACTTGTCGGCGAATATTTCCCAACGGAAGCAAATGTATTAACGCATACGTCCAAGCAATTTTCATTAGTTTATTGAAATTACAAGTTCAGGGAGTAAAAAGACACTAGAATTGGGATGCGTATTAGCAACCAGCGTTAACGACATCCTCAGACTGTTTTTCCATCATCCTCCTCAACAACGCACACTCATTGGGTGTTACCATTGGTAACCCAGTAGAACACATATAGTGTGATGGAACCATTAAACATTTTGTTTTCAAATCAATTTGAGTTTCAGGTCGGGGCAATGCCTATTGAGGTGGGTCAGCGATCAAGTTTGCTGTTGTCGTCAGTAAGAGCACTGCACTTTTTAATTTAATTTAGGTGTTAAAGTACACTATGCGAAAGAGCCTGCCATTGGTTTATTTCCGTCTGAATCAGTTTCTATTGTCTCACAGCTAAACCCTCTCAACCAATGAGGTTTGTTGAATGGTCAATGCACGAGATGCTGAAGCCTACTTAGGGTATAAATTGCAGGAATTGCCGCAGCACGTCCATGAGTTTGTACAAGTCCTGGTACACGCGTTTTCGTTTATTACTATCTTCCTAATCAACGTTTTTTTCCTATTTCGTTTGTAATTAGTTGGTTATTTAGTAATTCACAAAAAGAGGTTTTCTTTATTGCTCTTTAGTTCAACCAGCAAATCAATTGCCTACACTCTTGCCAAAGTGTACTCAATTTTGATCAATTGACGATGTTTTGTAGGACCAGTCAGCATGCTTCATGACTGCTTAGATAATCGTCATTGTGGCCATAGCACTGTTGAGTGAATTAAATTTGCATTGCTCTCATTTCCTTCGTTACAGACAACAAAATGGCACTCGAAGTGACGCTGATGTCGGTGGTGGCAGCGATTATGGTGTGGGCCGTTCAGATGGAGAACGGTGGTATCCTCAATACTGTGTTCCAGGTTGTGTCAACCACGCCACAAGGAACAGTCGAATTTGACATGTCGAGTGACCTGTTGAAGTCAAATGCGGAGTTCTTCTTGTCAGCGCTGCTATTGAAACCGATTCCCTTACCCGTGCTAAAGGTCATGCCCGAGAGTCAGGGAGGTGGGGCGTCTGGCGTGGCCAACGCCCACGCCCACCCTAACCGTGAGCCCGACATCTTCTGGATCACAGTCGCTCTCTTTTTGCTCATTGTTCTCTTGATCATCGCAATCCAAGTGATCAATTGTTGTTGCTGCTGTTGTGGTGGTGGTGATGGTGGTGGCGAAAGTGGGGTACGCTGGCATTTTTTTAAAATTTTCTACTATTATTACCTCATGCTATGTCGAGTTGTCGCAGGGGTAGCAGACGTAAAGTGGTTAGTATGATCCCATTTAAAGCAGTTAAGTTTTCAACCGACCGCGGTGATTTTACGTGAACACAAAAAGCCACAGTCTGTAGATTTGAGAATGAAGACACCCGTGTGATAAAACGTCATTAACACAAGCATTTGTATCATTTTTAATCCTGTCTAAGCAAACTCAAGCATAAATGTCGTCAGGTTGCAGCACCGTTATCACGTTTTGCATAACCGCTCGTTTGTATCACATTGATGCTCTATTTCAGGTGTATGGATCGATGAATCCCTTGCAAGTGGCTGCGTTACGAAGTAGACTAGGAAATAAGCAGCTGATGTGTCGCATCGCGTACATCGCAGTCCTGGTTCTCGCGATGGCCTTCCTGGCAGCCTGCATCATCCTCATATTTGTCTACTTCAGCAGCATCGGTGTGCTGATGAGCTACCTGGAAGCCCACAACGGGAGCGCAGAGGAGACGAGTTCCATCCAAAACGGACTGCAGGCACTCACAACACACGTGACGCAGTTCTTGAACACAGGCATTGAGTCTGGCCGCACGCTGACCAATACTTCTCTCACCGATTTCATACAGCAGACGAATGTAAGGCAACTTCTACCCTGCTTTGTGGGAATATGGTGCCAGGCGCATTGAGAGTTGGTTGGCTAGCACAAATTACGCGATCCGATCCCACAAATGACAACTGAATTCAAATTCCCAAATTATAACGTAGTCGTTTGTTAAATTTCACTTTGTTCACACTCGCTAACACACCTTGCGCATTATGGGAGGCCGTGTTTGGCAGGAATTAGTTAGAATTTTTGTCTGAATTTACTCCAAACTACACGAATTTGACATGTTGCATGTACTTTAGACGAGAATTTCGTCTGGACTGTCTGGAACGATTGACGACCTTCTGGTTTACTTGAATGTGGCGAATGTTTTGACAAGAGGCAACGAAACTGTTGAAGCGGTGAAAAAATTCTCCGTCTACGTGACTGGTGCAAGTACTTCGATCGACGCCTTAAAGGTTGGCATTACCGCTCTTTGCCAGAAGATGAATGAAGCTCGTGACGAATTCAAGACTGCATTCGCTTCTGTTGCAACCTGCGACGCAGACGCGGAGTGCAAAGGCTTAAAAGTAAGTCGTCTACTTAGAAACGGATTTTTGTTGCAAAATTGGAAGAATTGTCATCCAGTTCTGGAGCATGCGTGGCTGCCCAATGCGATGGAGACTTAACGAATCACTGGATGTCAAGAGTTATTTTGATAGTGTTTCGGTTTGCTAAAAAAATTAAGTATAGAGTGGACACACGTGCGGAAGCATTAAAAGAGAGCTCAGCGTTAAAAATAAGTGGCGATTCTGAGGCACAATGGCTACGATAACCGCTAGTTACTTGCTGGCCATATTCTAGATCTATGGATGCAGCACAGGTGACAATCAAATCGGCTTTGATTTTATTTGACTTCTAATTCTTTGTAGACAGCAACAGAAAAGTTATATTGTCCAATTGATCTCAATGCAATCGACACAACAGTAACGAAAAAATTCATCACAGAACTACAAAACATGGTAACAGATTTAGAAATGAAATTGGCAGAAGTTAATCAAGCAATCAATGAAATAAAATCTTCAACAAGCCAAATGGTTGATTCGATCGAGGAAAAACTCGACCTCAAAACGGTGCTCGATTCGATCAACAAGTTTTGGGATGACGCCAGTGCACAGGTTGGTGGTGTGACCAAGAATCTGGAAGACCTCTCCACCACTGTGGACAATGGACTTTCACAATACTCGGGGTATATTCGCATCGGCTTCTACGCAATCGGAGGGTTCTTCATATTGATGTTGGTAATTGCTGCCCTCATTGCTGCGCGTCTTCTTTACCGAGCTTTCCGAGATCGACTCTACGCAGGCGCTGACACGGTGCTCACATGTGAGTCATTCGGTGTTCGCTCATCTTTATGGCATTAACCTTTATCTTTGTGTGAAATTAATAAAGCCAAAAAGAGAAGCCAAAAAGAGAAGTCTGGAAATTGACCAACTTTAATTTGAATCTTGCAACCTTTCACAGAGGTTGGTAGATGCAGTCAACTCATCTTTGCAAGAATTGCCACACTGCAAACGAGGCTCAAATATCCACAAAGAAAAGACATCCCGAAAACTCACTTGACGACTGTCACATCAACATCAAGTTGGGTCTCAGGCCTTGGCATCAATTTCAGCAGTCACATAGACGGGACGCTGTGAGGCCACGAAACTCGAAGCTAGCTAAGTAGGTAAGGTGGCCAAGGTAACTAAGTGACATTGACATTTTACCAACTAGCTCAACTTTCTTATAACTAAGCAGGAATCGTGATTACTAGAAGTGGGAATTTTTGCAAACCTTACATCTGGTCCATAAAAGTACTAAAACAGTATCACGACAAAACCCTGACAATCGTACATAGTCTCATCTTGACAGTTTGTAAAGCATTGCTCTTATTGGTTACAGATACACCCGGTAATAAGTGGGACAAGATCGTCTGCGGAAAGGGGTCGGTGTGCTGCTGTTCGGTGATTTTCATTCCAATCCTGCTCATCTTCGCAGCCCTCATTGCTGTTCTGCTATTCGCGTTGACGTCAGTATCAGGTTTGCCCAAGATACTCTGAACTCATATATTTAATTCAAACATTATTTATTATCGTTATTCCTACGAAAGCTCATTAATGAGGTGACGAAATGAGGGGAATGTAGTGTTCTTTATACACTTTACATGCATGCAAATTTGCAAACCATCTACAGGGTCGAAGTGTTCGTCTATCAATCTATGCCACTCCTTCTGCAATTACCCCGCACTTAATAAATTCTTCACAAGAGACTTTGTCAAATTAACCTTGCCAAATCAAATAAGCCCTTAGCTATAACCAGTTAGGCATGTGTCAGTGTGTGTCAACTACAGGATAACTCAATAAGTTCTTTACAAGATACTTTGTCGACCTAACTTGACCTACTCAATTGACCATTTTGCCATGACCAATCAAATGTGTGTCAACGAAAAGATAGTTAAATTAACGAGGAGTTGCATTTTTGTAAATGTTGAAACACCCTCTGTTAAAGGCGAAGGCTGCGTCTACGTCACACGGGAAACAGGTGTGAACAAGACTGACTTCGTGGTGGACGGATTACTGGCTCGGCGTTGGTCGTCAATTATCGGTGGGTCGGTTGGAGGAACCAACGACTTCCTCAACATTCCACCTCCCAGGCACGTGCTCTACGGCTTAACCCACACCTGCCGTGGCAGCACAAAGCAGTCATCCCGACGTGGCCTGCTTTCTGCTGTGGGGTACACCAATCTGGTGGATGTCGCGAAATTGGTTAATAGCAAACATGTGCAGGATGGAATTGCCGAAGGAAAAAAGTAAGTCCTTGTTGTCATTTCTTTGCCATGCATGTGACTTGTAAACTCTATGCACAATTAAAAATTTTCTTACGATGAATCCGTGGATTGTGTCAATCCTCTTTTTCACAGGTTTTCTCGTAATGCCATGCGAAAAACCTGAATAATCTTAGCAAAATCAGGCCATTTAATGGAAGTAAATGATGTCAAAGATTTTCGAAAATATTATTTGGAAGTTCCGCAACTATTCCTTAAACACTGACGTCTTTAAATGGGTTTAACGCTTAATAACAACGAGGATGTTAACATTATGTTAACATTGATTTGACATTATCGAAAATCAAAAGTCTTCATGCCTGAAAACAAGGCTGATTGAAAAACTGGAAAGTGATGAAGCGATGTTTCCAGTTAAATTTGAAGTTGTGCGAGTGACTTCTTGAGGCATCACCGTGGAGAATCACTTGGATTTGAGAATTTGTTCAGAATTGTGGCTGGTAAAACAGGTGAAGAGGCGGATTACGCAATCGTTAGTTATGTGAAAGATGTACCTTCACAGCAACTTTGACCAGATCGCTCTCGACGTTGGAACTGTGAAGCTTAGACAACATCCTACGCTGGCTAATTTCCTTCTCTTTTTTTTCACCTTTCAGTGTTATTGGCAACGAGATAAAGAAGCTTAATATTCCGTCAAAATTGCCCAATGCAAATGATTTGGACAAAGTGAAAGATAGTCTGCAGAGTGCAATAAACAGTTTTAGTCTCACTGTAAGTTCGGATTTATTTCCTTATTTGGTTTGACCTCTTACGCGACTAGCCTTTACAACATTTTTCAAACATAAAATGACTTGGCTGAAACTCAATTAATCAATCTCTTCAGCTAGAACAAATCTGATTTTACAAGGTACATTAACTCTGACCAAGTAAGTCCTTTAACTGATCAGCGAATGGTTTTAGCGATTTCTACATGGATTGACGTAGAGCGACCCCTAATAGCTTGACACTGTTTGACGGTTCCCGATGGCAAAGACTAACCCTTCGTTCATTCCTCCTTTAAGGCACTCATCAACTCAACGAATTCGAGCCTTCTGGACCCCGCACCGATGGAGGCGTTTATTACCAAACTGGAGGCGTTTTCTAACAAGCAAACTGCACAGGGCGACTTTAAGAAAGGAATTGGCAGCCTGAATGATGTAGTCGTTCAAATGAAGAACCTCCAGCCGGAGATGGACAGCACGCGTGGTCATCTTCAGAAAGTTGACCAAGAAAAACAAAATATTCTGCCTCCTGTCGAGGGACTGGTTGGAGCTTTTAAGACAACCATTAGTGTAGGTTGGCGTTCCTCTAACGTGGTTACTTTTGCTAGTAAAATGAAGGTGATATTTTTGGCTCTGGATGGTCAATCACTGTAAAAGTTGGTTTTCATCCTCCTACGATTTATCAAAAATCTATCAAAACCCTACCCAATGTGGACCAAGGCGAAATAGAAAGACCCGACCATTCGTTTACAGACACATCAGCAAATAAACTGGGAACAGGTGGATTTTATGTGATCTGTGGTCAGTTATCAATGCTCGTTACAAAACCATCTGGTTTAAAGATTAAGTAAAACGGAGTACCGATTCCAGCGATCGAGTGGCCGTACGAAAAGGGGTTGGGAATCCACGAAGCCTGCTACAACTCCATTTACCCACTTTAGACTGCCGGTGATGAATCCAAGTTGGTAGGCAAAGTCGAAACTGAGTATGACAAGGTGACCACGGAGCTGCTTGCCTTCATGGAGAGGGATGGCGACGTGGCATTCTCCCATCTCACCCGTGACCTCTTCCCCTGTGAGGAGGCCTACCGAGCAGTCAATGTGGCGCTGGCTGTGTCCTGTGGTGACGAGGGAGGCCTCAATCGATTCGTCGGCGTGGTCTACGTCCTCGCACTCACCGTCCTCTTCATCTGCTTCTTCTACTTCTCCCTCTTCAACCTCGCCTTCATGCAGGCCATCCAGATTTATCGATTATCGGCCATGAAACTTGACAGCACGACATCTAGCTACAAGGACTACGCGGGGGATGACAAGGATTCCATTTTAAAATGACCAAACAGGCTGCGTTTGATTTTTTTTTGATATAATTGACTACTCAATGTTGTACCGAACCGTTTAAATACAAAACGTTGTATATTACCTGGTCGTTTTTATTACAACAAGATCTTGACAACACTTTTGACTATCGTGATAAGTTTGGCGTCTACACATGACGATTCGTCGGCTATGCGAGCCTTTTTTGCAACCTGCGACCAGATTATCACATGTGAACATTTTGACTAACATTCTTCGGTATTAATGGAGGTCCAGTTCATTGGAGCTAGCAATTTACCATCAGCTTTGGTGTCGGAAGTATCCAGATATCAGAAATCGGCTGCATCGCCTGTGTTTGCGCGTGAAAATGCAGTCTAACTTTGCGAAACGTACATGGCGAACACGCAAACACTTATGTATTCGTTCATTGAGCAAGAAGTGAATTTCGACAAGCCAAACAGGCGTAAATGCGACATTTAACTCACAGCAAATAGCGGGTATTCGGGTGTAATCCGGGAAAAATTCATGTCAGAGCATCAACTGCAAATGTGCTTAATTATCTTGCTCGATTTGGTACCAGTAAATAAAAAAATTAGTATCTTTGATCGACGAAATCGTGTTGAAGTGGTGGTGGCTTGAAAATCACACGAAACTCGTTGTGCTTAAATTCCGATCCACGTTACGTTGGTCACATGTCATCATCAAATGAATGTGTCCCACACGCACACACGCAAACAAACTAGATCTTGAAACACACCTTCATCGGGTCCAAATAAAAGAGGAAAGAACTGTGTTGTCAACAGAAATATGCGATTTGATGTGTCAATCATGAGATGATGTTTTTACAACTAAAGAATCCAATTTTGCGTAACCTGAATTGTACAATCGATCGGGCAAGTCCACGCTCGCAGAACAAGATCCTAATACAGTCGTAAATCAAATGTTGATTTCGATTTTCCAACATATAAACGAGTACATTTAAAACTTCAGATTTCGCTACACACACGTTATAGGATGATCCGAAACACCGTGCAGCACCATGTGTATGAACACAGTTTTACCGGAGCTAAGCATAGACGGAATTGTGGTTGGAGAATTGTACTACCACCGAAGACAGCGTGTTAACTTGTCAATGACTGGAAATGGGCAAATTTGCAAAATCATTTGATTTCCAGAGAAACCAATTTACGGTTCGTGTCATCAATCACACGCATAAGTACATAATTTTGAAGAGATGCGGTGGCTGCATTTATGTTACAGTCCGGATGTTTCGGTGTTAGATGGCAAGGGAACGTACACTAGAAGTATGAAAACGTTTTTACCTTGATAATTTGCACGAGACGAAAGAAGTCCAGATTCAAGTTTAGTAGTTTGCTTAAGAAAGGTTGTGTTTTGGCCAGAAGCAGAACCAAGGACCCATTGAAGGAATAAAGCCCAGTAGAAAGACTGGGAAACTCAAGTCTTTGTTAAGTGGCCCAACAAAAGTTGCGTTTAGGCCTGTGTGTGTTCTAGTAAGTCTCAAACCTTGCTGGGAGGGGTATGACAGATGAGGATCGTTAACCAATAGAGATCGGGTTAACTAGTAAATGAACAAACACCTGAATGGCAACATGTGTGGTTTGAGTGAAAAGGGGAGGTGTGTGCTTAAGGTGGTGTGATCCTACGTGAGGTGGTCTGTCGGAATACGCGGTGACAGAATTCATTAACTATCGCCATCACGAAAAGAATCAATCCGTGCCCCCACGCGACAATGCCATTCAGAAGCAGAGAGCAAGTCCAACGACAGAGCAATCAGAGCTGTCGAGCACTGCATAATTCTGGAAGGGGATGAACGAATAAATTAGCTAGAAGGTGTGTCAAAACCATACGGTAGCAAGAACTACTGCCTACGGACTGATCAAAGATGAAGCATAGCCAACAAATGATGGCCCCTTTTGTCGCTCTAACCTAAATTAAACATGCTTTCCCCATTTTCGACACTAGAGGCAATACAACCTTGTGCGTACTACACGTGAAGGAGTTTCAAATGTCATCAGGATAACTGCTCCACGTTTTCACTTTAAGTTGGTAAATTAAATCACCAATGTTTGGCTTTGTTTTTGACATCTTTGCTTGCAGCACCAAACACGGAACCTAGCGGGATATCAACTTATCAGTTAGATAGGATAGGCAACAGGCGGTCTACTTGGATAACATCGCCTACTAGAGCTATGCAGTCTCCTCAACCCACACTCGATGTCACGTAGCCCGTGCTTTCCGCAGGCATACACACTGAGTTTAGCAAGCACTGGCAAATTAATGGCATTGTGTGCCACTTACATAAAATTGGTGACCCTTCGTTCCAATGAGATCACAAGTCATCGCTGTTAAGGAATGCTTTTCAGTTTTAGGCTGAGCCAGTTTGTGGTCATCTTCTAGCATTTCAATTAAAGCGAATGGTCAGAACGTGCTTGCGCCCAAATTGTCCATCTCGTCTTCCATTTTATGAATGGGTGGTACTTCTACGAGCGTACAAAACAGGATGACGGCTTGCATTAACCACCAAGGTCAGGACATGTTACGAAACAGAATTGGCAAAGTTCATGCTGATGGGGGTTAGCACGCCTAGTGACAAGCTTGGCAACCTCCTGTGGACATTTTGGATAAAATTGTTTCTTATCCTAAAAGTGACCTCGTCCACGGCAGTCAGATTTACTGAAAGTTGCAGTGTCATCCTTTCTCACCTCCACTCTAATTACCAAGAAACCCTGGAAATTTGCGAGTGGACAGGCTTCGGAATCTTGTGACGGAATTACAAACCTTCACGCATGAACAGGTTTGTTTGTTTCATTAAATGTTCATTTTAGCCGTCGGAAAGCACAATCACAACTGCACCCAGTCCATTACCGTTAAGGGGTACCAGGCGCACAGGTGAAATGATCGAAGAGGGGTGGTAGCATGAGATGGGCTTCTCACACCAGCGTTCAGACGAAACACGCATGCGTCACAGACACAGCGCCAGTTTCAACGAGATACGTCCACTCCCACAAACCTAACACTTCTCTCAAACCATTCTGGGACGAATTCAGGCAAATCCCACAACCACGAGTGATGACCTGGTGCCAGATGAACGAGGACTCCTGTGAGACATCAGCACCGTCTCAGCCAATGGCGGGAGAGCGCTCACACGCGCCCGCTTATATTTGGAGCATGTGGCCTTGAGTGTGTAAAAGAGACAATTTACTCAAGAGTGAATGGGCCAATAGGACGAAGGTGGGAAACATGAATATGAAAGTTTGTGTGCAAAACATGAGTGGTCATGAAAAAATCGAAAATTGGCAAATTTAGCACCCGGATAGCTGACTTTTCTTTTATGTTTAAGAGGTGCAACCAGGGAAGGTGGTTGGAAAACTCAAGAAGTGCTCTGTGGATTAAATTTGAATGATTCCATTTATGCAAGTTGCGTCAGCCTCTCGAAATGAAATCTTACTGTTCATTAATTTCCAGTGAAGTTTTGAACGAGATACGAGGGTCTCGAAAGTCAAAGGCCCAATGGAATGTCTAGTGCTTTATCTCGTGGTAGTTTTGCAACCGAGTATTGACTAAGGAGTATAATGACCTAGAATGCTTGGTTTTTGTGTTGGCACTGCTGAAGCCAGCACATTTTTCGAGCACAAATTTCTGAAGACGGAAAAGGTTAAGTAATGCCTTGAGGTGGTACAAACAAGTTGCAAGCATTTTCGAAAACCGGATGTGTTGAGTTAGCTTCACACCCCACACTCCCGATCCTGTCATTTCTTATTGCCGAAATTGTAATTGTGTGGCGGATTAACAGCGATCGCGTCTGATCTGACGGTGACAATGACTCATCCCCTTTTTCATTGGTTACTGTATCCGATGCCTGTCATCCGTTAACTCATCCACACACTCATCCACACACTTGGCTGACATGACGCTAATAAACGGTCGTGTCCTCTGTCGCCTCTTTTTCCACTCTTCTCGGGTTGTTCCGGGCTGTTAGCTAGAGGGTTGCAAGGTAGTGCTTAGACCATAAGCTCCTACAGTTGTCTTGTACATGAGTAAATTCAGTCATACGGCAGCTATCGCTACAACCACTTAAAGGTTGAAATAAGCCCATTTCTGAGGCATCAGCTTCTAAAAATTGCACAAGGAAACGTATTCCCCTACGGTAGTTCCACTGGGCAAATTTTAGCAGCATAGACGTCTTTTAATGAGAGCATTCTTAGGAGAGCAATACCGTAGGCACATTTGTAATGACGGCGGGCGCCACGGCAACCAAATGCCCATACTTTGGCGCACGCTTCTCCTCCCTCTTCCGCCCACACGCACACCAACACGCCTTTTGTGAAAGTTCGTATTGTTCTGTATTTGAGTAAACACAAGGTGCCGCCACGTGGAACCGCCCAGTTAAAAATAACTGACTTTTCTGCTTATGGCCCACTTTTGCATCGTAGTAAGGTGGAATGAATGGTGTTGGGAGATGGATTCGCCTAACAAAAAAGCCAGCTTGAAATCTCTGCATTTATGGCATTCAACAGCATCAGATAGTCTGGAATGTCTTGGAAAGAGTCAGTTACTCATGCTGCGAGATGGTCGTCGAACGAACTCCAGTGCCTAGTGGCAAGTCAGCAGTTTCAAAGTTATGTGTCCGCTTAGTGCCTAGTTGCGGTTTGGTTAGCACTACCTGACAACCCTGCTAGTCGACAGTCCGTAACAGCCCAAGAAGAGAAGCAAGACCGATGATAGCTTTTTATTTACTTTTGACCATCCGATTTTTTGTAGCACAGTGTGTGAGTTCATCTCTAGCGTCAAGTGTGATCGAAAATCGAGGACATTCGATCAACTCGTGAATAAGCCTCAATCGAGCTCGTTTGATGAAGATTTCCTACAGCCTAATAGGACACGTTCCATGAAGTAAAAGCCGTCGAATAAGATTTAGAAAATCCATGACAGCCAAATCCACGCAATGTTTTTGTATTTTGCTGAGTGAAACCAATCAGATGGTAATTAACAGCTTGGGTTTATTTGTGACTTTAAGAGTTCGTACATTGCTTGAGTTACGGAAAGATCTGAATTCGAATGTACCAAAATTTGGCCAAATAAATGACAGCTAAACGGACCAGCGGATTCATCGTCATTACTAAAGCTCACTTTTGTGAAATCGAGGTATTCTTAAACAAGAACCCACTCAAAACAGCCTTATCGATTCTTCCGAATACGTTTCTTAGTGCAGGTAATATTAAATGCTTCCTTCGAGCTCTATCGATTCAGCCATGACAAGTAACCGATGCAGTAAATAAGGCGTGATTTCTCTCCAAGCAATTAAAATACCCCACACAATGAGGAATTGCATTCTGTAAGTAGGAAGTTTCACAGAACGCGATCGTGCCACAGATATCATGAGACCACTAATTAAATCACAGATGCTGATTGTCAATAAAAACAATAATTGATTCAGTTAGATTTCACGATGGCAGACATAGGCACGATAATGCTAGAGGATTTTAATACCTGTGATGTCACTGTTGCTGACAGTTGTTGACATCCAGAGCTAAATGTAGAGCTGGACCTCACAGAATGACGCAGTCAGAGCGAAATGATGAAGCTGCTTGCTCAAGATGGGTGTGAATTGGGCACTCACGCGCCTCTCATCGCATCAAACCGCATCACGATGAGCCAATTTGGTCGCATTTCGGCGCAATTTTTTTGCATTTAATTATATTTTTGTTTGCTTCACTTCCAAATAGACAAATTCGAAAAATTTCCAAATACAGAAAGCCCATTAGGCCTTTCCATGTGACAATTTCACGTTTAGTGATGAGGTTCTTCTTAAATGAAATAGAAACCATCCACTTAATTCTTGCGCAATGGGAATTTTAGTGTTGCAAAATCCGTGTCAAACAGCACCTCACAAATCACTCGCCTGTAATTGCATGGGAGAATCCGTCTGCCTTGTTATGCTGAGGTGTTTTCTCGATTTAACAGCATTTCGTAATTCACAGTCTCGGTCCGGTTTTAGGTCAACCCGAAAGTAATTATGGAGAGCAGGGTGCGTTGTGGTAAGAATTGTTGTCGGTAAAATCACACAGATGCAGGGCGCTGGATTCTTGCACCACTCTTTGCTGAGTTCGAGTTAGCCAATATAAGTATGCGATTCTAACTGTGGCTTCGATTAACTAAGGATTCCGATTTTCGAAGCCTGATTTTGCTCTCTGAGTAAGTGCTCCAGATGCCCACGATGTACCTTTGGAGAATGCGCATTTGGAACTCCGTTGATGATGCAGAGGCTTGCATTCACACCTACTGATCGTCGTGAAGTTGACGTCGAAAACTCTTCAGCTGACACTTCACCAGCTACTCATTTACGTATTTGCGTACAAACTGAACTAACAGGAAGACCTTATGTCTCTCAGTAGTTCTATTTCATCTGGCACCAGGCCGTCCCTCGTGGTTGTGGGACGCGACACTGATTTCCCCGAATTCGTCCCAGAATGCTTTGAGAGAAGAGTCCGATTCGTGGGAGTGGACTTTTTCTCGTTGAAACTGGGGTTGTCCTAGTGTGTACTATAGAGTCAGTTTTGGCACTTCTCATCTGAGCAACCCAGAACAATCGATTATGGATCCCCTCGAAGTCCACCCAATCCTCGAACTGAGATGTTGTTCAAGAAGCTGATATTTGGGAATCACGGAATCTTCAATCCGATTCCGTGATTTTTAATATATATTACGAGGTGATGCATTTATCATCCTGATTTTAGACACAATCGGTGATATCAGTATGCATTCGAATAGCTTGAATTCATTTCATGGATGCGCTGATCTGCTAGTTATGGCCAGCTATTTGATACCAAGCCGTGATTGAAAGAGGAATGGTTGTGTGGTTTTTAAAATAGTGGCGTCACCTTTTGCTCTGATTAAATTGGCGAAATGAGGACGGTACTACGTCGATTAAGCTGAACAAACTCACCGCCAGATTTCTTGGGAGGGACAATTTAATTACGTAGTCATGGGTAAAAGGTGTTCTAGCAAAATGTAGAATCATCTCACACCTAACAACACATGAACGGGTTCGATACTCATTCACTTATCAAAGGCCACACCTTCAGCCATACCAACGATTACTGTGACAATGTGAGTAAAGCTACCATATTATTGAAGAAGGCAGTCCATGTTTTTCTACGTTCATCGTTTCGTAACAGACTGATCTGGCTTAGTTTCAAATCCATCCGAGGTTTGCAAAACAGACATCAGAAGGTTGTGGTTTGGGTTAATGTAGGGAAAACTATTTGACAAGAGCATGTTGGTCTCAAAAGCCGGCGATTTTAATGGTAGTTTCGACTAACTCAAGTGTCTGATCTTTCGGGCTAGCCCCACCTAAGTCTTAAGATGCCCATGACGTTCCTTTCGTATCAGCTGTCACTGACAATGCAGACCGGCGCGTCCAACCTCGTCTAATTGGTAGCTGGGATTTCAGCACTACCTTACAACCCTCTAGTTAACAGCCCGTAACTACCAGAGAATGGGGAAGAGAGGAGGCGACAGAGAACACGATCGTTTATTAGTGTCAAACCACCCAAGTGGCTTTGTGGGCGTATGAGTACCCGTGCGTTGCAGTCGAATGCTGCTCACAGAGGCCAATAACAAGAGGATGAGTCATTGGTCCATTCGGGCCCTCATGCACGCATTGCTCACGCGAGGTGGCTGTCAGTCCACTACAGTACAACTCAGTCTGATTGGTAATAACAATTAGTGACACATGATCTAGAACACGAGGATGGACGTCCTCTTCAATAGAATGCATTAGGATACATATGTTTACTTGCAAAGGTCACAAGTTCATCTATAACAGCAATTACAGCAAGAATGTGGTAAAGCGGAAAAGACTGTTCATGTAGATGTCCCCGATGTTCTATTGTACTTTCAGGTCTAATAATACTTGGATGAAGAACAAATCTTCCACCGATGATTGGTCGAACAACGTGAGTTTCGGTTCTTTTTGTGTGATAGGGGCGTACAGCAACTCGTCCCGTGTTTGTGGGACCCTCCCAAAGCCATCAGCTGTGCCTACGTGTCAGGTTTGCAATGACATAAGTCCTTATCTTTAGTTTAAACATCGATGTCAACCCACGTCCCTCATCTTTGCCGCGTCATGTTTAGCCGCCTCGATACTTCACCCGTCCGGTCCTATGTCCCAGAACGCACCCAACCCCACCGCTCTCGTAACTCATGCGGACACGTCTCGTCCCACTGTGATGAAGATGCGGTTCCAGAAATAGAGATTCTGATGCAGTGTGTAAGTGGAGCCATTAAAATGAGAACGTTGACAGTCAAATTGGTACTGCATGGAAACATGTTCTTGTCCATTCCACGAATTTCCACATGGATTCCAAAGCCATCCTTCGCCTCTTAGTTCATGTCGTAGATTATGGATGACGATAACCATGGTAGTTAACGAACTATCCAGAATCATTGACGAATGTGAGGTTCAGTTCCTTAATTGAGCACACATCGGGATATCCACTTGTACCATCTAAAAGGATACTAGAACCATGGCATGATTGGATAACCACTCCTGGCAACCTCATAGTGCTCGTCGATTCCAGTCGAATGAAAGTAGTTTTCAGTTCTATCATTCTGAACGTGCATGTGGAAGTTAGGAGAAACGAGGCATTGACGCGTCTCTCTTGACATCAAACCTTGTCACGTCAAGACAACTTTAACCTATTTTCGGCAGGATTTCTTACACAGTCCTGACTGAGTGGCGTTTTTATTCACTTCTATTATGGAGAGGCATTCTCGACAAAATCCAGAATTGCAGACAAATCATGATACCTCCCGTTGTGGGAAAGTCAAGTTTATACTTTTCTTATTTTACCCAGACTGTATCAGTCAACAAACACCGAAGTGTCATGCACTTCCTTACATACACGCACACGGCACCACACGACCCAAATTCGTTGAGTTGTCTGGCAAACGGTTGTGCCTCGCCCTATCCGGATGTCAGTTTAGCGTAATCGGGCTGGATTTGAAGCAGTGGCACCAGTGTGGTTTGAGTCAACATCCAGAGGCCTTCGCCAAAGTGGAACCCATCATATTACCGTAGGTGGAAGTTGAGAAACCTACATTGAACACTACCATTATTTTATTCAAATTACTCGCTTGAGAGAATTTTTCAATTCTGTTATCCCGAGATGTCTACTTGACACCTTAGTTAAAGAGAACAGGGCGCGTTGGGGTAAGGTTTAATGTCAAAGACACACTGATGCAGGTGGTCAGATGATTGCATCACTACTTGGAGGTTTAATTTAACCAATAAAAGCAAGTAATTTTAATGAAGGCCTTAATTATCTCGAGTTTTCGATTTTCCAAGCCTGATTTTACTCTAGACGCCCACGATGTACTTGTCATGAATGCGTAGACCATTTCATGCATCCTGCCACATGTGGTGCACCAACCAATGCAGACGGACGCGAATACATTTGTCTGACCTTTGCTTAACAGTTTGCACCCGAGATTCGGGAAATAGACTTCAAAGTTGTTGCTGCTACCAATGCGATTAGACCCATACATCTGTGGCGAACACAGATAGCAGGCGTGAGCGAACACGATTCAATCGATTTTTCGTGAATGCGCCTCACGCAACCACGTGCGTTCACAGATCGATACCTAGCGAAGCCCCAGCATGTGGGTTTGAACCACGCCGGGGCCACGGAATTAACCCTGGCCCGATTACGTCTCCCTGATACCCGCGATGAATGAAAAGACTAGAGAGGACGGGACACAACCGTTTACTTCGGGGCTCAACCTCGTTGGTGTCGTTGTGTCGTGTGTGGGGTTTGCGCGTGCGCATTTATGCCTCGGATGCGTGAGTCGTAGATGCGCTAACATCGAGACCTTGGTATAAGGATAATCCAAATATTCGTGTGAATGAAGGGGGGTTGAGGAGTCGCGCGGCTGGTGCCATGCTGCGAAAAGGGGGAACCCTGTGTCGGATGTGGATCGACCGGATTAAGGGTTTGAATAAACACGATTCACGACATGTTATTCTGCACAGTCATACACGCAAGAAATAATTACTCGACTTGATTGGCGTGACGCTAATAAACGGTAATGTTTTCTGTCCCCTCTTTGTCTTCTCTCTTCTCGGATTGTGACCGGCTGTTAACTATAGGGTTTTTGGTAGTACTAAATCAGGCCGCTACACATCTTTGTCTGACAGCTGATGAACAAACTCGTATACGCCAAGCTATCGAAATTAGCACGAATTGCTGAATGGTTAGGAAGTGGTGGAGTGTCGTGATTTCGCACCCACTGAGCATAAATTATGGTGGAAACTTCTCCTTCTTACGGCAGCTGCTCATTTTCTCTGGCACCAGGTCACCACTTCTCAGGGTGAATCACGACACCAAAGTGCCGAAGTTGTGGGACTAGGCGTTTCTAGGCGAAAAGCCATTCCCAACGTGTTTACCTTGGAGTAAGTGTTGGCAGTTGACTTCTGGGCGACCCAAATTGACCGATTGCGGATGTCCAAAGACCCATACAGATCTCAACCAAAGCTCTTGTTAAGAAAGCTGAATTATGGGAAACATGGTAGTGTCAGTGGTCATCCGATACTCTTGATATCGATCCCTAGAACAGTTGATGCATTAGCTGCTTATGGATATCGGTGTTGCCGAATAGGTTGTTATGAGAAGGATTAGTGAATATTTTTATAGTCATGTGTGAAGTGCTTTTTATGGCAAATATTTCCATATATTTTAGGGTCTCACTAGTAGAATTAGAAGCGTACACAGTGCTGATTGCACATCGGATCATGACAACTAGGTCTAGTGGTTGACTGAACTACGAGTCAGTGATAGCAACACTGCCAAATGGTAGAAAGAGGTTTATGAAACGGTTAATGCGTGAATTTCATGAGTGGCGGAATTCAGTGTGGTAGTTGTTTGGACTAAGACGTACTTCGATTTCAACGATGTCGAGACGGTGATGTCGTGATATGCGTTATGTTATTAGGTGTGCTTCGTGGCGGCGGTCATTCCTCAGAAATTGGCGTTGTGTTGAATCACAAGTCCATTTTCTATTCCGTTCATTTTAGTATTCAAATTTCAGGAATTAATTGGGCATCACTGGACTGTAGAGGGGCCGGCTGTCTGATTCTGAGTGGGTATTTTGTGGCGCTTGTGCACTAATTGTCTGGTGAGGATGGTAAACCCGACCGACTCGAGACGTTGCCTGTCCTTCCCTCCTCCTTCCAAACAGCACTAACTCATTGGATGTTGCCATTGGCAACCAAGGCGAACACAGACAATGCAATTGAAAAAAATGCAAATTTTTGTTACAATAAATGCTGTGTTTTAGACTAGAGCTATCCTAGTCTACTGCTAAGATTAGAGTGAATTTTCAGGTTGCTGTTAGTTAGGGCACTTGACTTTCAGGTTAATTTAATTAGGTTGTCACTTCATATAGTTCAGTCGTTCAAGCACACTCTGCAAAAGGCCTTGACATTGGTTAATTTCCATCTCAATCAGTTTCCATTGTCTTAGATCAAAGCACTCTCAACTACTGCGGTTGGTTGAATGATCAATGCACCACTAACTGAAGCCTACTTTATGTATAAATTGACAGAATCACCACAGCAATTCCATGGGGTTGTACTAGCAATTCCATGGGGTTGCATATTCTTATTGATAATCTTAAGAATTATTCCGATGTTGAATTCTTTTTTTTTTATTTAATTCCTACTTGTATCGTTTCTGTGTTTGGCAGCAGTCACACAAGTGTGTAATGAACACGACAAATAAACGATTATGTTTTAAAAGAATACTTTCCCTATAATCGTCTTCTTCCTTACAGACAGCAAAATGGCACTCGAAGGGATGCTGATGTCGGTGGTGGCAGCGATTATGATGCGGGCGATTCAGGTGGAGAACGGTGGTGTCCTCAATACTGTGTTCCAAGTTGTGCCAACCACGCCACAAGGAACAGTCGAGTTTGACGTGTCGAATGACCTGTTGAAGTCAAATGCGGACTTCTTCTTGTCAGCGCTGCTATTGAAGCCGATTCCCTTGCCCGTCCTAGAGGCAATGCCCGAGAGTCAGGGAGGTGGGGC